AATTCTGCACTGAATTTTCCATTGCTTTAAATATTCCAAAATGTCCTTTCAATGGATCACTCACTTCTGACCCCACTGCACTTTAGCTACGACCCCTTACAGTTGGCATTCTTAATAGCCAGGTAATCTTCCTGAGCTCAGTGTCTCTTTACAAATGCATCTTCTTCTGGTTTTTCAGTGTCTCTTCTTTGCAAATGCATCTTCTTCTGGTTTTTCTGAAGTGTATTCCTTAAGCTCTCTTGAGAATGTGACAGTTCTGTGTTATAGCAAAACTGTTCTGTCTTACTTGGTAGCAGCTTATACTCCAGCATATTATTTCTTTTACATATGTACCTTTCTTCTACAGACAAAAGCTACTTGAGAGCAGGAACTGGGCTTTATTCTTTTGATACACAGACCAAAATTCACAGGAAATGGATTTATAAATGTTTGTTGATGAGGATTATGACACTTTTCTAAAGTGTAGGAAAAATTTGCTAATAATTTTGGTACAAATATGTGTAGTTTAGTTAGTTTCCCTCTCTGTGAAACCACAGAAGACTGCAGTATCAGGGATTTGGGGCATCTTTTGTCGTAAAAATTTCAATACAAAACTTAACAAATGCAAGCATTTCAGTTTCCATTAACATCATTCATTATCTCCAAGAATCTGAGCTGTATGTGGTAAACCAAGGCTTGTTGCTTAGATTCTTTTCTGTGTTCCTTTGCCTCTGTATGGCATGGCGAAGAATTATTTAGCAAATACTTGCTATCCACTTTCCTTTACATTATCTTCTTTCCCTTTGAAGTTGCAGATCTCTAACCCTTCTCTCTAGCGCAGGGTGGCATATAAATCCTCATTGCTTGTTTTTGGGGATAGACATGTCTTTATGAGAGTCACATATATATATGAATTAAATATGCTTTTTCTCCTGTTAATGTGTCTTGTGTCATTACAGTCTTTAGACCAGGAAAAATTTCTCCTCTTCAACAGAGAAAAATCTCCCTTCCATTCACAACCATCCATGATTCAAGCCCTTCCTTGGACTCCTTTATGTGACTGCTCTCAATAATCTCTGAGCACGCTACTCTACTTTGGACCCTTTGCACAAAATATGATGTATGTGTATTGGAGAGTGAGAAAGAGGTTCACATACACCAAGCAGCTCTCAGATTCTCCAGACTCATCTGGGTGTCCCTGAACTTAATTCAGTTCTCAAACTAGCTGCTTGGAGATCATGACAGATCCTTTAAGTTAATGCCTCAGTCCCATGAGACTGTACCCCTCCCTCACTTCAGGGCCAATCACAAGTTCAAGCTGTTACCTGTGCTTCAGGTTGACTAGACATAAAATGGTTCCATAGCCCTCTACTCAGATTTGATAAATTTACTACAATAGCTCCAGGGCTCAAGAAAACTGTAATCTTACTAGATTACCTGTTTTTTTTACAAAGTTTGTTAAGGATATGAATAAATGCCCAAGTGAAGAAATAAGTCAGAAAGAAAAAGATAAATAGCAGATGGTTTCATCTATATGTGGAATACAAAGAAACCAAACAAAAGTTTAAGGAAAAGACAAAGCTAGCAAGCTGACCACAGACTTGAGGCATACAGCAAAGGAGGGGAGGGGAAGGTCAAAACAGGGGAGGGAAGAACATAAAGGACAACTACAGGGGCTATACCCTGTGCAGGAGAAACCAATTACTGTATAAAAATGAACAATGTAAGAATGTAAAATATTTTTTAAAAACAGATACAAAAGGTGAAATCTGAATGGACCCAAGCACAGGAACTTCGGTCCCTTTGGAGTGTGGGTGTGACATGCATTCTTAGTCGCAAATTGAAAGTTGATTAAATCATTGGCCACTGGTGACTGATGGGATCTCAGCACTTTCTCCTCTCCGGATTGTGGGAATGGTGCTAAAACACGCAATCCTGCAATCACAAAATTGGTTCTCCTTAGTAACTAACCCTCATCCTTAGAGATTTTCCAAGTCACCTCATGACTGTAAACTCAGGTGTATTTGAAAGAGATGTGCTGTAAAAAACAAGAGCTCCTGTAGCCTTCATCATGTTGAAGCTATGTTAGGCAAACAAAAGCAAATATAACAAAACACACCTTATTATTCTAAACATTTAGGAAATGACAAGGGTTTTGGAAGCTGTGTGCCAGGAAAAGGGGTAGGTAGAAAGATTTATATATATACATATACATATATATGTATATATATATACACACACACACATATATATGTATACACACATACACACACACACATATACTTATATACAGATCTGTATCTATATATATTTATAAGTAACCACATTGCTCTTTCTAGGGTTTATCAACTCAAATACCACCCTGAGGCACAGAAGATGAATGAGTAACATAGCTGTATCTATTGTATAGTGCGATCTTAAATTTCATCCTTTCAACATCACACAATTTACTTGCATAGTAATGATATTATTGACTTCTGCAAATAAAACATTTTCTTGATTCTCTTTTTGCTCGTTTGGAACCCCCTGACCCTCTTTGTCACTTTTTCAGTTTTGATATAGTGTTCCCTTTCATCTGATTTTACTAATGAAAATAATAGTAATTGGGGCTCTCCCTGGTGGCGCAACGGGTTAAAGCACAGCACTAGGAAGCTAAAGCCACTTCCACATGAGTTCGATTCCCGCCTGCCCCGAAGGCGACCACATGGCGAGGCAGACCTCTCCTGACCCGCCCGCTGCTCCCCTCAACAGTGTACTTCGTGGATCTGCCTGTTCTGCTTCCCGCTCTGTCTCTGGTGAATCCTCTCACCCTCCGCATCTCTGGCCTGTACCCCAGTTCTGTACGAATAAATAAATAAATCTTTAAAAAAAAAAGAAAAGAAAAAGAAAATAATAGTAATTGATGTGCTCTTCAATTTCAGGAAGACTTTAGGAAGGAATGTGTACTGGGCAGGACGTTCATGTTTGAAGGATAGAATCACTACTTGATACTATTTCCAAATGATTTTTTAAATGATATTATTGACTTCTGCAAGGCTTGATGCTGTCAGCCTTTTTATCTAAGAGAATCTGTTAGTGGACAGGGTGACAGGCACTCCATGATCCCCAACCCTGCCTGCTCTAATGGGTTCTAACATCCATCAGATAAAAATTAGACATATTCTTGGTGTGCAAAACCTCCATTAGAAAGAGCTTTAATAGAATTAGTGTGCAATAGAGGGAAGAGAAGGGAAAGAATATAGTTAAAATAGTTTCCAATTAAACACCCAAAGTTGGAGCCTCCCTGGTGGCACAAGGGGTTGTCTCAGTACTATGCAGCTATAGGCAGGCACGGCTGCACGAGTTCAATCCCCAGCCAGGGAACTAACCCATACGGCAAAGCAGACCTCTCCTGCCTCACTCACTGCACCCCTTAGCAGTCAGTCAACCTGTCCTGCTCCCCACTCTGTCTTTGGAGAAACCTTTCATCACCTCTCCTCCCCTGACCCCACATTTTTTACCCATACCCCAGCTCTTGTATCCATAAATAGTTAAAGTAAATCTTTAACCCCCCACAATTACTTATCCCCTCTTGGGGAAGTACTTAGCCAAACAGGACTGGCCAAAAGCAGGGCAACTGAGGCCTGGCTCCGGCTTGTTCCAGGTCTAAGGCACTTTGTGGTAGAGACCGATAGGGAAGGGGCAGAAGGGACCAGACAATTCTGGGAGCAAAAGAACAAAATCAAAATAAATGCTGCCATTGTCAGCCTCCCCTAGTGTCTCTTTCCATGTGCCACAGGTCCCTGGTGCAAGTCCAAGCAGTTTCTTTTTCACACTGTTACAATACCAGAATAAATGTTTTATTTTTAAATGTCAGGTCCAATATTATTTTTAAGACAGTAGCTAGGGAAATTCAAGCTGAGCAAAACACAGAACTGACTTAGACTAATTAGGAAGAAAATGAGGTACAGTCCCTCCCTGGTGGCCCAACAGGCCACAACACTGCAAGTGAGCCACAGCCACTTCAGGTGAGTTTGATCCCGGCCCTGGGGATAATCCACATGGTGCAGCAGACCTCTCTTGTCTGGCCCACTGCTCCCCTCAGCAGTGTATGTCAGTGTAACTGCCTGTTCTGCTCCCCACTCTGTCTCTGGTGAATCCTCTCACTCCTCCTCCACCTCTGGCCTGTACCCCAGTTCTGTCTGTGTGCACGCATAAATAAATATTAAAAAGAAAAGAAAATGAAAATACAGAAGGGAAGGCGTTCAGAAAGGCTGAAATCCTCCAACATGGAGTGGAGGAACCAGTGAAGGGGACTGGGGAACAACAGTTAATGAAGAAAAAAGAGAATGTGATGTCCTGAAAACTGAGAGGTCTGTAAACTACGAAGGGGAGTGTCTCTGCTTTCTGAGCTGAATGCTGCAGGTCCAGGAACCGCTGGAGACTTGACAAGGATATTTCAACAAACTGGTGACATGAAAAACCAGATGACTGCAGTGACAGTCATCCTGACACCTTTATAAAAGCTTAGTCTGTAACTTCCATGGCTTAAATTGACCTGGGCTCCTTTCAATTCTAATCTGAGATTCCAAAACACTTAATCGGTCCTTCACTCTTCCTAACTTCCAAGATTGTTCAAAGGATATAAAGTGCTTTGTAAACAAAGATGCTTAACAAAAGGGAGGGTCAAAGGGGCAACCATTGGTTTTCACTACTTTATTCTAATACTAGATTACTGTACTCATTTTATACTTTCTTACCTTATACTTTATCATTTTATACTTTCTTACCTCAGTGCTCCCTCAATGCTGAATTTTTCTTAAATTGGTAGCCACTCAGAATTTACAAATCCAGTTTTTCAAAACCTTTCACCCCGTCAGTCCCAATACAACTCTCCATTCCTCCCTTCTCCAGGTCTTTAACCTGGGAGAACAGAGTTCTTAAATCCAAGCCGGAACAAAAAGGGTGGAGGCGGGAGTATATTTTTGTTCCCGCTAAACGCTCTACGCGCATGCGTCAATCGTCTTCAGCGCGGACCTTTTGTGCTGAACGCCTAGGAAGGGTGGAGGGGTGGTGATTTGCCTGACGGACCGAGTACGGGTGCCGGGCTGGTTCTTGCGGAAGTCCATGCGCCATAGGGAGGGCCGCAGTGGCTGCTCGGTGCCCTTGTTGCCGAGGGCCTATTCCTAGGTCATTCCTGGAGCAGGAACTGGCGTGGGGCTGACACCGGGGGCCCGCGCGTGGCCGTCTCGGTGCCTGGGTGGCCTCGTCGCCTGCGGGATGTGGCGCCTACGCCGGGCCACTGTGGCCTGGTAAGTGCGGGTTGTGACCTGGCCCCGTTATTTTGGGGGCCTCTGGAAAACTGTGTTGTACCATCATTACCTCCAGAATATACAGATAAGTCTCAGGCCAGGCGGAGGACAGTTGAAGGATTCTGGCATATTTTTGAGTATTGGGCATGACAGGGGCCCTGACTGGGCTTACCTGGGCTGCAGGCTGTAGTACTGGCCCTTGTGACTGGTCAGTGTCACTGGAAGATTCTGAGCGCCTTTCAGTCTTGGCCTATTGTCCTTTTTGTCCCTGCCTCTTTCACCTCTTTACCCATGCTGTTAAGTCTCTGGCTGCTCTTTGTTTCTGTCTCTCTTCCCCCACCTCTGGCTCTGTGTCGTCCTTCCCACGCCTTTCTTAACTCCTTGTCTTTTTTTTTGTAACCTCTACCTCCACTGTAGTTGTACCTTGCTCCCACAGGTACTTGCTCTCCTTCGGGAGTGAAGTGATGGGAAATTGAAACTAACTAGTGACACTCACGGTGTCAGATACGGGGATTAGTGATATCCTGTTAATTGCAGCTCCCCCCCCCCACCCCGGGTTAGGGAGGAAGACTTGCTTTTGGATAGTAAGTGATGGATGTGGCACCCCCTTTCTAATCACATTGCTATTGTTGCCATGTCCTAAGTAGAAAATTAAAGAATTCATTTCCACGGGTTACTATAGGCATTTTAATGAGATTGCATTTGGCTTTATCTTTACACCCAGCTGCATCCCAGTATCTTCAGATATTTTCAGACTTAACTCACTGTTACTGACATTTGGTGAGACGTCGTGATGTCAGGCAAAGTTGGTAAACTTGGTCTTGATTCATGTCTAAATGCCTGTCTTGGTTTTATTTTTCAAAGTGTTTTAAATGGTATAGGTAATTTGTACCTTTTATAAGAAATTGTATATATTTGTCTTCTAAAGGTTAGCAAGTCAAAATTTAGAACTGTATGACATACAATATAGTTTTAGTCAATTGGAATAATTATTTCTAGTCTCATGAGATTTTTTAAAAAGATTTATTTATGCATACAGAACTGGGGTACAGGCCAGAGGTGCAGGGGGGTGAGAGGATTCATCAGAGACATAGTGGGGAGCAGAACAGGCAAACTGACAAGTACACTGCTGAGGGGAGCAGCGGCAGCTACAGGAGAGGTCTGCTGAGCCATGTGGATCACTTCCCGGGTGGGGACAAACTCGTGGTGAAGTGGCTTTAGCTTCTCAATGCTGTGTTTTAACCCATTGTGCCCCCAGGAAGGGCCCCTAGTCCTATGAGATTTTATTTTCTGAGTAAATCAACAGCACTTGGTACTGAAATAGGTTATTTGCAATCTTTTTATTTCTACTCTTCAGTTTGTACTAGGGAGATATAGCTAATCTGTTTAAATAAAAAGAGATAAGACATTGCAGAAAACAGCAACTTTTTTTGGAACATTAATATATGAAGGAAAAACTTTAAACATTTTGAATAGAAAGGAAACTGATTAGTTACTGGTATTAATTTATTCAGTTGGATGCTGTTGGGTTAAATTGTTTCTAAACTTACTGTAAATTCCAGAATGTCTACATTCAGGTTAACAACTTTCAGAAGTATATACGTGGAAGATAAGGATCTGGAAGTTCTGAAAACTGTCTTTTATTATAGTTCCTCTGCATGTTATAAAGGAGTATATTTACAATTTCTATTCTTTAACAGATTAGAGCATAAATGTTTCTGACATGTGTCTTATTACATGCTCATAGATACACAAGAAAAATAACAATCAACGTTTATTTAGATAAGATAATGCTTGTGTAATTTTGTTGGAAAAATAATTATACAATAAAAATGTTAAGGCATTGCTAAAGTTTTTTCTAGCAGCCTTTGTTACAAACTCTTAAGACAGTCACATTTTTGAATGTTTGTGAATATCCTGTTTTTCCCTTGATGAAGCTTTTATGATCATGGCTTCAGTTTCAATTTCTCAGTTTTGTCCAGATTTTGGCCTCCTCTCCCTTACCCACTCTGTCATTGTAACACTTAGGCCTTTCTGTTAAAAAGATTCTTTTTTTTTTTTTTAAGATGTGGCACATATATACAATGGAATATTACTCAGCAACCAAAAAAGAGAAACACATGTCTTTTGCAGCAACCTGGATGGAGCTGGAAAAGATCATGCTTAGTGAGATAAGCCAGAAAGAGAAAGAAAAATACTGGATGGTTTCACTCATAGCAGGAGTATAATGGACCAGGCAAGAAAATAACAAGAATAATGAACAACCATATACCAGAGACATTTTGTGGGAGTGGAGTGGGGAATGGGATCAAAAATGGGGGGCGGGGGGAAGTGCACGGGATTATGGTGATGGCACCCGGGTGACTTGGTGATGGGGAAACCCACAGGGATTACAATTGAGATGGAAAAAAAATGTACAAATGATGTAAAAATAAACTGTTATAAAGTTTAAAAAATAAATCCTTTTGAGAATTAAAAAAAAAAGATTCTTTTTAGCCTAGAAATAATTTCTTCTCTTATTTCCTTCCTTTCGTTTTTCTGTTTTTTCTTTTTAGATGACTTTTAGTTGAATATTGATCTACTTAGGTTGATCCTGTATATCCATTATTTACAAAATATCTGTATCCTCCATCTGCTTTTTTAAAAAATGCATATACCACAATATGTGTATATGCACTTATTTTTTAATTTTATATATATATTACTTCTGTAATAATTGCTTTCATTATAAACCTAATACAGTTTTGAAGGACAGTATCTAAAAGTATTGCTACTTCCTAAATCTCAGTGCAGTATTTTGTGCACTCCATGGGGTGAATTTCATAAACACACCCACATTTTTGAGTCACGAAACTTTTCTTGTTTTCTAGCTTTTTTCAGTAAATTCTATGTTCTTGAGAACTTCCTTAATTCATTTTCTGTTCTTACACACATATACACACACACACCATTACAGCTTTAGATTTATGTGAACTCTAACATTTTTTAAATTCTTAAAGACATTAATTCTATAAACTTTGTATAGGAAGCCTTTTGAGAATATTAATATCTCATAATCTGTGCTTTTTAATAATGTTATTTGTCTTAAGATTTGATTTTATGCAAGAGTTTGGTTATCTGATCATATTTAAACATGAAGGATTAATGTTTAATACAGATGCTTTGTGTGGATTTCCTCTGATTGAACCAACTAACTGAGGAAACTATTTTAGGTGTAGGATATGTGTCAAGTAACCTTCACTTTAGGGCTTTTAGAGAGTGAAGAGTTGATTCAGTCTCATAAATAGCTATAGTCATCTCTCTCTCTCTATCTCACCACACACACACACATGCTGTGCGCGCACGCTCGAGGCTTAGCTCTTCTATGCCAGGTTGCTTCAAACAATTTTTTTTCTCTCTCACTCATCCTTATCTCCAAAAGACTGTATTGATAAAAAAATCTCTCTTGTTTAGGCATCAGTCTTGTAGATCATCAGAGTGAATTTGAAATTCTGGAAGTATTCCTTGAGGATGCATATCTGTACTAGGATTTTGCTTTGAGTCAGTTATCTCTTCTGAGGTTCTAGTTGAAGAACACCTTACATGTTACTGACTTAGATATCAATGTGTCCTGTCTGCCCTTTCCCCTACCTATACTTCTTGCTGTCATCATTGTGGAAATAGAACTTAAGGAGGTTAGAAGTAAAAGAAAAAGAAAGTAATGAAAAGCAACACCACCTTATGGATATGACCACTCAGACCTAGAGTTCATCTAGTTGAATATGTATTTGGATTAATTTCTAATTTTAAAAAAAAGGGAGAGTATTTGTAAAATAAATTATTGAAGCTATAAAGCAGGGAATTTAAGGTGAGATGGTAAATACGGTAGAGATTTAAAAAAAAAATAAAAATATACAGAATGTCTACCAACTTGTGAAAAGAAGACAGTGTTTTTGTGACTAGCAATAACCTTTACTTGTGGTATCACAAATTGTCAGTGTGCCTAAATCCAGAATTTGTCTTTCTCCTATGATTAAAATCCCCGTTCTCAAAGATTTCTTGAGGTCAAAGCAAGCCCCTCTGTTATCTCGAGGGTTGCAAAGCATGTGGCAGGTGCTTTAGAGTGTCTCCTCAGCCCCCTGATGAAGTTCTCCCCCTTCTACACCCCTTATGTATTCCTTGCTTCCCACACTCTTTCTCACTGTGTCTCTTATCGAAAGAATTTTGGCTTTACTGTCAGATTGACCTGATTTCCAATCCCTCTTCCACTTCTAGTAGTCATCCCACCTCAGGCAAGACAGTTAAAAAAAGAAAATTGGTAAAATAAGGATACTTGCTTGCTTGCCTTTCCAGGTTTTCCTGAGCATTTGTAAGCATGTAGCATAATGCCTACTAAAGTTTTCCCTACTAAGCTTTATCACAACATTGAATCCTTTTTTTAAAGTTTTTTGTACTATGTAATTGAATTAAGTTTTCAGCACTTTAAGCAAGACTCACCCACCAACTACCATGAATGTTAGTGGAATAAGGCATGGTTGTTGCTATTAAATTTGCTCCCAGACAGAAGAGGGAGGTACTCAGACAGTAATGTATACATTTAGATTCTTTTCCTGTTGAGATTTTAGTTTGGTGGGTTTTTTGATGTTGCTATTTGCATTTTTCTGGACTTTAGGTGACTGAGATGTTAATGATTCCTCCCCACCCCCCTTAATTTCCACTTCTGGGCTATCTTAGGGTTCTGAGACACAGATAAAGGGGTAGAGAATAGCTACTGTAAGCTGTATCACTTCTATTTGCTTGAAAGCAAAAGTTGGTATGAATTTTATTTTTAACTTTACTGACAGTGAGTAGCAGTTCATAAAATAAATACCTGCTTGCTTTTTTATTTTTTATTTTTTTGTTTCAGTTTCTTAAACCAGGATCATAACCCACGTGTGTGTAATCAGAAGACAGGCTCTTTTGTCTCACTGCCTGGGTGTGAATCCATTTTACTCCTGACTTTAGTGTGTACTTCCACAGGATACGTAGGTCTGTGTGCTGCTTTTCCCTTGCCTGTAAGATGGGGCTAATACTAGTACTTTCATCCTAAGATTATTAGCAGGATTAAATGAGGTAATACCTGCTGCAGCTGCTCCTAGATATGGTAAATTACTAGTAAGGGTGAGTTGTTGTATGGCACGTTAATCACACTTTACTTTCTCTTTAGTAGATACTGCTCTTTTAACTCCATGTGCATTGTTACCTGCCTGATGTTTTTCCCACGCCCATTTTTCTTTCAGTGAGGTCTGCCAATCCTTAGTGAAACATAGTTCTGGAGTGAAAGGAAACTTGCCACTACAAAAACTACATGTGGTTTCACGAAGTATTTATCATTCTCATCGTCCTACCTTAAAACTTCAAAGACCTCAATTAAGGACATCATTTCAGCAGTTCTCCTCTCTAACTAACCCTCCTTTACGCAAATTGAAACTTTCTCCAATTAAATATGGCTACCAGCCACGCAGGAATTTTTGGCCAGCAAGATTAGCTGCAAGACTCTTAAAACTTCGGTATCTCATCCTAGGATCTGCTGTTGGGGGTGGCTATACAGCCAAAAAGGTGGGTTTGACATTTTTATTTTTTCAGTTATCACACCATGATTGATATATTTAATTTAAAATAATGTATTAAATTATTATTTTTTAATGCTGTAGAATGTAGTTGGGTGTTTAAATATTTGTGTATCTATTACATGATAAATTATTTTAATAATGCTGCTGGGAAAATGCCTTCTGAATCGTAGGTATGACTGTGGGAGGGGAAAATGGCCAGGTTGTAGGAGCACGGCCTGGGAGTGAGAACACTTAGGTTTGTTTTTCAGCTTTGCCGTTCAGTAGCACTGACAAGAAAACAAGTGGCATGTTACAAACAACCACTTCTTGGTAGATCTGGAACCAGAGACAAGGTGTCTTTCTTCAGTGATCTGCCTCCTTGTATTCCACAGTATTTAAAACCAAGTTATGAAATCTGTTTTAAATAGAAGTATATTTTGAATTTTTACATTTTTCATATTTAATAAAGGAACATTTGCATGTGACAAAGTTTGCTGCTAATTTGTTTTTAGAAGGCTGAAAATAATGCATTGCTCTTAGATTGGTATGTTTTAAAATTTTTTCTTATACCCTTATGTGGTATTTAGTGCTTTTGACCTGCATGCTTTCTTATTTTTCAGACTTTTGACCAGTGGAAAGATATGATACCTGACCTTAGTGACTATAAATGGATTGTACCTGACATTGTGTGGGAGATTGATGAGTATATTGATTTAGGTTTGTATCATCAACATTGAACTTTTTTTTTTACCATATCTTTAGAAAAGAGAAATTGTTTAATGATAAATGTAAAAAAAAGTCAAAAAATATTTTTAAGAAAAAAAGTGACCACTAGTACATCACTTTAACACACCCACCACTTATAAAGCCATTTTCTTTTATTGTTCTAGACATGTGGGGTTAATATTTTTAAAATTACATAATTTCCTTTTTAAAAATTACATAGTCATGGTGAGCATGCACTTAGGCATCTTGTTTTTTCCCACTTAACACATTTCATGGGTATTTTCCATACTGCCAGGCACCTCCCCAAATATTATATTCATTGTTGTATAGCATTACCCAGAGCAGATTTACAGTGACCAATCTAATTAACTTTTCTTGATTGGTTACCTTGATTACCTACACTTTTTATGATCAGGTCCCTTGATAGTGTCTAGCATAATTTGCCCCCATACTCAGCCACTGTTCCCCCTTTTCTAGTAATAGGTAGATGGGGAAATAGTATATTTGATAGTTAGGATTGCAGGTAAATCATGGGAATCTTTTAAAAATTGAAATATATTAGACCTTGTTTTTTGATTTGTCTTATTTTTTAGCTTAGTTATATATGGAGTGGAAATAATCTCTGTGTACACATATACATCCTTAAAGATAAAACTATCCTTAATTTATCTAAAGATATTTGCAGGAAAACATTCTTTCATAGTATTTTTCTCATATTCATGAGAAGGGCATTTTAACTTAATACATTTACTAGGATCTCAATGTAGTGACTAAGAGCCTGGATTCTGAGGCTAGACTATCTTAAACTCAAAGTTCCTACTTCTTTGTTGTATGTTCAAGTCTACTTACTTTTTTTTTTTTAACATTTTTAAAGATTTATTTATACATACAAAACTGTGCAGGGGTGGTGAGAGGATTCACCAGAGACAGAGTGGAGAACAGAACAGATAGATCAATGAAGTACGCTGCTGAGGGGAGCAGCAGGTGAGACAGGAGAGGTCTGCTGCACCATGTGGGTCACCACTGGGGATTGAACTCCCACTGAGGCAGCCACAGCTCAGTTGCAGGGAGGGCCAAGTCCACTTACTTAACCTTGCTGCCCCAGTTCCTCATCTTTAAAATGGGATTGATTACAGCTATTTTGTAGAGAGGCTATGAAGATTAAATTATTTGTTACTTTCAAAATGTTTAGAGTAATATCTGACACCATTCTTACTTTGAAGTATTTGTGGTTTGGTCTTTTTCAGAAATTAAAAAATAGAAATTCCCTTCCTAGTTTCAGAAGTCTCTATAAAGTTGTACCATGCTTAGACAAAATTGTTGAGTATTTGTTAGTGAAAATATTTTAATACGATAAATAAAGCTAGAAAAAATAAAGTAAAAGTTTGCCTTGTGCTCTTAGTTATTTCCAGTTAGTGACAAGTGTGAATCTTCTTGGAGACTGAAAGAAGGAAAAAAGTAATAGAATTTTGTTTTTCACCTGAAATTTCATCACCTTTTCTTCTGTTGTTTTAACCAGGACTTTAAGAAATGGTTTTCCTTTTTTTTCTTCTATTCTTTGTCACTTTGCTATGACTTCCTCCCAGAAATTACTTCTGATTCCATTCCATTGTAAACGTTACTACAGTGCTTCTATCTTGAGGCATTTGCTTAACTTTATTCAATTGTTTAAATCAAAGCTATCAATCTAAACTGGATGTTTGGTCTTTTTCCAGAAAGTTCATGGCATATATATTATTAGAATAATGTGTTTTTTCACATATATTGTAGAAGTTGTAGTTACTATGGGAGAAAAAAAGGGAAAATGTTTTAATTTGAATTTATATATTTATTATTTAAATTTTATGAATATTTTAAAAGACAAATTCTTATTTTGAGAGTATATATATCTTGTTCTGTCTTCTCAGAGAAAATTAGAAAAGCCCTTCCAGATTCAGAAGATCTTGCAAAGTTGGCACCTGACTTTGATAAGATTGTCGAAAGTCTCAGCTTATTGAAGGACTTTTTCACCACAGGTAAAGAATGATCTGTGTTTGATCTCATTCAATATGTCAGGAATCCCAGAGAAAAAAATACAGACAGTCCTTGACTTATGATTTTTGAATTTAATGATGGTGTGAAACTTACAAATATTGAATAGTAACCATACTTGAATTTTGATCGTTTCCGGGCTAGTGACATTCCATAGGTTATTCTCTCGTGATGCTTGGCCATGCAGTGAGACAGTTTCCTGTCAGCCATGCCATCATAAATGTAGGCAACCGATACTCTACAGGGGTACTGTGTTGCAAGTATTTCCACCTTCGGATATTTTCAACTGACAATGGGTTTTTTAAGTTGTAACCCCATCATAATCCAGGAAGATGTGTACATAGACGAGTTTGTTTTTCCCAATGTTTAAACAAAAACATTATTTAGTAGATATGAGAAAAAGATTTTTAGAAAAAAAGAACCACAACATTTTGTGCACCAGTTTTTTAATTTTTTTTTTTTAAGCTCAACAAAATGAAAATTCACAAGAAATTAAAAATACTTGGCTTTATTCAGTGAGGGGGGAAATCACTGGTTATTGACAAGTAGATGAGACTTCCTATGTGTTCGCTTTTCATAATTTGATAGAGCCAATTTGTGATTTTATAAACTATTTAATTATGATGAACCATTATGAATAGAATTTACTAAGTTAATCCTGGCATATTTGCCCAATTACTGCCCTATCATGATATAAATCTGAGATCTCAGACATCTTTGTTTGCTCATTCCTGTTAAATTTTACATTTCTATTTCCCCTTCTGCTGATTTTTCACAGGTCACAAATTGGTTAGTGAAGTCATAGGAGCTTCTGACCTACTTCTCTTGTTAGGTGTGTAAACAGATATTTTTGCTCACCTTAACGTGCCTTGTAAATGCTTCTAATAAACTAGTTGCAAATAAAATTGCAGACCAAATTTATAATGCTGCTTATGCTGAATTTTAAAAACCCAGAACTATATTGGGCAAATTCATTATCCTTTAGGTAGAAATAATAAAATAATTATCTTTGGTAAAACTAAAATTCCTAAATATATCTACCTTATATGGTTACAGTTGTTAAGCAAAAAAGGTTTGCTTAACTGAAATATTTTGAAATTGATCTGATTCTTTCTTATAATTGAAATGAAAAGTAATTTTAGTTTGTCTCATCTGTCCTGTCATAGTTGACATTTTAAGTTTGTTTTTGTAACCGTATGTGGTCTGTAATGGCAGAGATAATATGGCTGAACTGTAAGTACTCTCATGTAAAATAATCCTTATCAAAGATTATCTTAATTTATTATCTTCAGTGATAGTTTTAAAAATTGATTAAACATGTACAGTATATTTTTAAAATTACTCGTATTTATTAAAATAAGAATAGTTTTCCAAAACATAATTGTTTTTGCTCTAAAAGCCCTTTTAATTGACCCAAATTTGGAATTTCATTGTACTCTTGACATCACTGGAGAATTTAAAGGCCTGCATATTTATCTTCAAGGTTCACCTGGAGAAACTGCATTTAGAGCAACAGATCGTGGATCTGAAAGTGACAAGCATTATAGAAAGGTAAGCAAAATAGAGAATTCTTCATGTAGTTAGTCTTAAAAAAATTTTTAAAGTTTAAAAGTTTTTAGCTACCTGAAAGATTTAAAAATGGTAACATCTGAGGAGCAAATTTAAAAGCACTTAAGTAGAGGCATTGTTACTTCTATTCGTATAAACTACAAGGTACTATATGGCAGTTCTGTAAATATAGTTTCAGGAGCCCATTTTCTAAAATTATTTTCTGTATAAATTATTTTTTTTTAAGATGTATTTATTTATTCATATAGAGCTGGGGTACAGGCCAGAGATGCGGAGGGTGAGAGGCTTCACCAGAGACAGAGTGGGGAGCAGAACAGGCAGATCGACGAAGTACACTGCTGAGGGGAGCAGCGGGCGGGTCAGGAGAGGTCTGCCACGCCATGTGGTCACCTCCCGGGCAGGTGGGGATCGAACTCATGCGGAAGTGGCTTTAGATTCTCAGTGCTGTGCTTTAACCCGCTGCGCCACCAGGGAGGGCCCTCTGTATAAATTATTTTAAGGTTTTTCCCCAACAAAGGTTTTTCTGTTGAACATGTGTGAGAAAGCTGATATAAATGAAAGAAGCAGGCTTTTTCCTCTAAGATTTCTCAGGCCTCTATATACTTGAGCGCATGATAAGCCTTCGAGAGAAGTCAGAGTATACAGGGCTTTCCAGATTTATTAACAACAGAACTACCCGTTTCATGAAATAAATGTTACATGGCTTAGGGGAAATGTTAGGGGACCACATAGGGGAAATATGAAGAAAGTGGGTTTTGGGGATAAATTGATTGTGAACAGTGATAATCAAAAAAATTATATATGAAGTTATCTAGAACATGTCATTTTCAACACATGCATTAACAAAATCCACATGAAATACTTAGGAGAATTACTGATAACATACATTATTCTGTATCTATATTCATATGTTATCCTGATATTAATCTTTACTTTTTTTTAATCTTTTGGAATTGGTAAGAAAACTGATTTCTAAAAAAAAAAAAATTTAATACCTAGATAAATCTGTTTCTGGAAAAAAATTATGAACATTTCATATTACTATGGTTTTAGTACATTGAGGGGAAAATGCTTTTATGTTTATTTGGGAATGAGAAGAAAATTTTACAGGTCCATCTCTCTCCCTGTCCTTGAACTTTGAACATTTTATATGATATTCCAAGTTTTAATAACACTTCAAAATAATTTATTCTTTTGTCTTTTAATTTAGTCTTTGGAAGAAAACATTTCAAAATGTGTACATGTGTTACTTTTTAACTTGATTGTTTTAATGCCTTTTCTATTAGTGTTATATAAGTCCAGGGTAATAGAATCGTCCACTAATGTTACTGTGAAACAAAATCAGAATAGAAATTAGCCTGTTAATGCACAGCTTATTTTGAGTCAAGGCCTTAGCTTGAATGAAAATAGACTTAACATCCCTTAAAACCCTGCTAAGTGATAAATGAATAATCTGTGGAGATTGAAGTTCTGCACTATAGAAGCAGCAAGGGATAAATCTCTGGGAATTTAATTATTGTTATAGATGGTATCTTATACAATAGATATCATAGTAAATTTATTCTTTATTTTATAATTTATTCCTGTATTTGAAAGCAAATTCCCTGATAAACTTTTGTTTTAACTTTTCCTTAAATTTTGGCAATGATTTTATTCATAAAAAAACTCACCACTTATTTCCAACGGTTTGTTTTAAATTCTTAATCTCAAGTTGTAATTAACTTGCTTTCATTACAAATTAGATCATATTATAGCAAATGCTAGTATAAGAATTTACTATACAGAAAAATGTTTCAGTTTCAGCTAAAACTAAATTGGTTTTAAATTTTATTAGCATGTTGCATTATGTTTTCAAAGCTTCACTGTTTATGTGTGAAACTTGAGAATAGTAAAACAAATTGCTGATAAACTGATTTTGAGAGACTTATCTGCAAATTGATAGTTGAATATAAGATTGGAAGGAGAGACCTTAGTTTAGCAAACATTGTGAAATTTTTCTAAATCATTAAGTTTGAAAATTTTGGCAATAGTCAAGTAGTAGGATGGCATTCCAAGTTTTTACTAGTTTTTATTTTAAGTTTGGGGTTACATTTTTGTTCTTTCATATATGTACATCTTTTACTCAGCCTCCACCAAATCATTTGAGACATCCAGAATTTAACTGGTTTTGATTGGTTCATGCTGATGTCTGAAAGCTCCAGATTTAAAACAGTATTCAGGGTTGAAGCATAATGACTTAGCCTAAAGGTTTATGAAGTTTTTATAGCTAAGCTTCTACGAGGAGTGTCAAAATAAGTATCAATTAGGTTTTTTTTTTTTTAGTAAAAATAAACCTGAACCATTGGTATGACTGAAGCAAAAAAAAAAAAAAAAATCCATTCTAATAGTACACATCTGGAGAAACAGAGACATTAGGGGAACAGCAAGGAACTTTAAAGTCACTCAAAGAGAAAGTAATGAGAGTTAAGGGAACACAGATGTCAGGTTGTTTCACTTGCCAGACAGAATGTACAAAATGATGAACTGATTACCTGTGGTTCTCAGTCTGAGGTCACTAGATTTTTAGGTCTTCTGGAAGTCTACAAAAAGGATATATTGTGGCTCGGGCTGAATAAATATCACACTTTAATTATGCCTGGATTTATATCCAGTTGGGCAGTGGTTATTAAGTTTGTTGATAAATGTTCTGATTGTATCTTTGGTAAATAAAAAATGGAAAGTTACTGAAACCACTTTAATAAATACTTTTTATAAATCAAAAATTTTAAAACATATTTACTGGAGAAAAATATCAGAAAAGAGCCGTTGATGTCAACTGAATGGTGTTCTGAGATTTGGAAACCTTCAGAACTACCTGAAGATAAATTGGCATTTGGAGTGATGAGCCTATTTAAGTGAATTAATGGACTCATCTGATATATAAATCAACAGATTCCTGTATATTGGCCATAATGTAGATGAGTGACAAGACCATGGAGTGTATCTCCTCCTTTAGATTCAGTAAAATTGTTTTCTGTTGATTGTTGTTAATCATATTAATTTGCTAGATGAGACATTTTACTCTCTGTGCCTCTTTGTTTCTGATTGGTCATAATCATCTCACAGAAGTAAGGTAGATAATCATTTGGAAGATTACAAGCAGTTTCATAATTTATAGAAAATATTTGAAGGCTCTTTTAAAAATTATAAAAAGTGGTACTGCTGTCTTAAATATAATTAACATTAACACATTAATGCTCTCTGTTTTTACATCATTCCAATTCTTACTTGTATACTTTTACTTTTGAACTCACAGCCGAAATAATTTCTTTCTGTTTCTCACCCAACTTTCACTCATTCATACAGCCAGCTCAGTTCACTTGTCACCTTCAGGAAGCCTTCCATAGCCATTTCGTTCTAAATATTACATTCTTACTGTTTAAAACACTTGCTATAAGAAACATTATTTACTTTGGCTTTTTAATGGGTTATTTCTGTCACAAAATATCTGTTCTCAGAGCACCTAAGATAGTTCTAAACTTTTAACAAAAGTAATTTGTTGATTAAATCAGTACAAAAGGCCAATTTTAAAGTAAATAAATTTAGTGAGTGCCAATAAGAGTGAGTGGAGGAGTCTGAGAGGATAGTGCCATCAAGGTAAAAGATGCAGACTTTAGTCACATTGTCTGCTCTCTGAGCCTACCTTTCCTGCTTTGTGAGTTATGTGACCTTGGGCACAATTTTTTGCTTTGATTACCTGTTAATTTCTCTTGGTCTTCCATATGTGGCATCTGTTGAAGAAATTAAAATGTAAAGGTAGTACAACTTCTTGGCATTTTGAATTGTAACAAAGCAGTATTATGTAAGTAGGGTTTACACTTAAGGGATTCCTGATGCTTCAAGTAATATAAATGTGCAAAATCAAATTCTCAACCAGTCCCACCAAGTCCCTTTTTTCTTTAAAGGGCCAGATAAATTTGTAGGCGCTTTGGTCTTGATGGAGAAGTGATAGTGCCAGGGTAAATGCTGCAGACTTTAGATTCACAGCTGTCTGCATTCAGAGCCTGCCTCTCCTACTTTGTGCATTATGTGACCTTGGACAAATTTCCTTGCTTCTTTGAGTTTCTGATTTTTTTCTTCTATAAATTGCAGAAGCCCACCTAAGAAGATTGTTGTGTTGGTTATATGAAACTCATTAGTATAAGATCTGGCACATAATAAATAAAACAAAGTAAAGATTGGCTATTAGGATGATGGTGATAGTGATGATTGATGATCGTTTTTATCTTACACTTTGAATTTTTGTGTGAGTTAACAGTGTATTAACATTATTTGATTAACTTCTTCCCCTTTTCTCAATTTCTGTGAATTCTGTTCTGGGTTTATGAGAAATGAGAAAAGTGGATTATAGAGTTTATGTATTATAGTTTATTTACATAATAAGCATTTTTTAGGAAATTCAGTTTGGATTTTTATACTATTAGAAGCTTTATGGGTATTGTTAGGCTTTAAAAAGTAGGTCGCAATTGGATTTATTCAGGCAACAAACATGTGCCCAGCCATAGTATCGATGTACTGGCTGTAACACATCTAATATCCAAGCCTTATCCCAGAGGATAGGTATAAAAACAAACAGGATGTGGTGCTTGTTATGCCAATAAGTTGTTAAAATATTGTACTTTAAGTGTAATCACTTTTAAGTGACTTATAGTAATATATAAGTGAGCTAAAAATCTTTTTTACCAAATTGATTAATTTCAAATTATGGCAGCATTTTCAGTTGATAATCTTGGTTTTTGGAGTTATCGCTGATTTTCTTAATCTAATATTATACATATTTTTAAAAAACTGAGAACAGTATACATGAAATATGAGACAAGGAAAACTGCAGTATCAAGTTAACAATAGCCAGGAGATTTTTGGAGTATACACCCTAATTTACAATAGCTATTATTATTAAAACCATTTAATATATAGCATGTTAAAATGATTATATACTATTTCTTGAGAGAACAGTGTCTACATGTGGTAAAATATTTTTTAAAATGTATTTTGTCAACTTAAGGCATATATCTTACACAGTAGGTACACACGTTTCTCCCCCTGGCTTAGCCTCCAATAGCCTTAGCTTAGAAGCTATATAACTGATCACTTGGTATTTAAAATGAGATGAAGTAACTTCTCTCACTTGTATAGTGTAGTGTAAATAGTTTTTTCTGTGTCTAATTCTTGTTTTCTTCCTACTTTTTTCAGGAGGTAACAGTTAATTTCAACTATCTTCAGATAACAGTGCTTCAGTAACAGACTTGGAAGGAAAGTGAGGTGTCACTAGAAAGAGGGTGTTTTCTTGAAATGTAATGTCAGAGCATTTACTAACAATTTGTATATAGATATAAGCAATGTGCTAGGGAAGGGGGATTTAAGCTAAAAAGAAAAAAGAAAATCTTGTGCTTGGTAGACCAGCACCATTTAAAAATGTAGACTATTTTTTCATTGCTTTGGCATCTTATAAACTAAAATACTGGTGGTATGTTAATTAAAGCAGTACACTGCTAAATGTGCTGAAATGGGCAGTCTTTAAAGGAAATTGATGATGTAAGAAGTCATAGTACTTGGATGATTAGTAGAAGTGACCCTACTAAGTAACTAAATTAATAAAAATGGATTACTTTTCTTTCTGCTTGGTGAAAAACAGTGATATAAAAAATGAAAAACTGACTTAAAAATTGTAAGAGTGATGAGGGTAGTGAGTTGGTTGGTGTTGTCTTCCTTTAAAAGGTCTATCAATGACAGTAAAAGGGCCATATAACTACAGGTTTTTTATCTTGTACTCCTGAATCTGTGTGTCAGATTTGAAACAAATGTTGAAATGTTAGTTATGCCACTTGTCACAGTGACATTCTCTTAGTTGTCATGCAGAAATATCAACTACTTTCAACTTTGATTTATACTAATTCAGCCAGTTTTGTTAGCTAATAGTCAACATAGCCCAAGGTGTTAAAACTAAGAAACAAATGAAAAGTTCCCTTAATTTTGTGCTAATATTTTTCCCTTGACTTAAAATGCTTTACTATAATACTAGATTTTCTGTTTGTATTTACTTCTTTTCTGGAAAACTTAATTATATAAGTCTTTGTGTTATATAATGTAAAGTCAATAATGAAGCTTTCTGGTGAGTCTAGTAGTTAAAATTTGAATGAAATGTTAACTATTTTTGTTTTAAGAAATTTTCTAATTGTACTTATTTTAAGAGACCTTCTACTTGTAAAAATAAAGTATTTTTGGAAATTAAAAAAAAACTCAGAAGCTATTTGAGCTATTTAATACTCATTGTTTAGTCTATTTTATTTGTTATCTAATAAACATTAGATTTCCTAACTTTTTCTTTCTATCACTTGGTAAAAAATTAATTAGAAATATAGAGAAAATAGTTGTAACATTGTCAGTTTTTAGTTTCCCTACATCTCGAGGTTGATTATTTATGCCAACAATTAAAACAACAGTACAGAAAATAATCATGTACCATGCCACATGTGAAATTTGTGATAAATAAAAGTTATACCAGAGTAATAATTCATGATTATTGAGTGGAATGAATTTTAAACAAGGTGATTGTTTTGTACATAAATCCAAACTAGATTGTGTTTCATTTTAAATTTTCATGACTTTATTATCTTCATACCTTTACTATATCCTTTTATAGTGTTTTTGGTTTAGTAACTGGTATGCTCTTGGTTACATCCTCAGGTTATTTTTATTTAATGCCAAAACAGCTCATAAAAAGTGAAAATTCAGTCAAACTATTTATTTGATGTTGAATAAAGTTATCTAAAAATAATTTTTAACTTTGCAAAAGAAGCCTAAACTCCAGTCAGATAAGCTTACATGCATAGACATATACATATAGAAATAAAAATTAATATAAAACCGTGATTAATTTGATATTCAGAAACTCAAATGAAAAGCACTTTTTGAGAGACTGTCATCTGTAGTTGGAGACATGCAATATTAAGGAGAAATATTTACTTAAAAATAATCATTTAATAACTAAATAAACTGTTAGGTGTCCTTCACTCAGTCCTGTGATAATCATGGTTGAAAAGTAAAAGGTTGAGGTATATAGAGTCAACAAGTTAAAAAAAAATCAATTCTGTTTTTCATGACTTGAATTGGCAATTCAAAAATAAGGACTGAAGTATTTCTTGACCTTCCTGTTACAAGGAAATTTGTTAACTACTTAGTGCCCCTTTCCTTTAGCAATCCAGTTAGACTAGGTTTTACTGTATATTGATATCTGGCTTATCTTACTCAACAGTCACACTACATTTCCCTTTTCACTTTTTAAACTGTGCTGTTTTGTATTTCAAAGAATCTAATTTTACTAAAGAGAAAAATGGAAATAAGGTAGAGTCCATTTGTATAGTGGCTCTCCAAGTACATACATCAGTTTCCATTTTTGTTATATGCTGTCCATTCCTCCCTAACTTACATCTGTTCCCTTCTTGTGCCCTTTGATTTAACATTGTTCTCCTCCCCAATTTTCCTCTTCTCCTCATTGTAAACTCATGGCAGGGTCTGCTTGGTGAGCTCATTCTCTTACAACAGCAAATTCAAGAGCATGAAGAGGAAGCGCGCAGAGCCGCTGGCCAATATAGCACGAGCTATGCCCAACAGAAGCGCAAGGTGATGGATGGTTTAAAGGGGGCTTCTGACGTGTGCACACTAAACAGCTATTTCTGCCAAGATCTTATCTCCCTAATCTATTCATGGACTCTAATTGTGAGAGATTATATTTGGCAAAGTAAAAATAAGAGAGAAATATAAAACAGAACTGTAACTTTCCTGTTGCATTGTAGTGGATAAGCAAATTCCAAATATTAAAAATAGGAATTTAATTATTGAAAACTAGGTTATCTATGAGGTCTATAGATTTGTATTTAGAGAAGATTTATGAATTGCTATTTACTTGGTTCAGTTATTGTCACCCTAGTTAACTTGTGTACTCCCAAGTTTTCATTTCTAAAATGAAGATTACTGTAGATGACCTTACTAAATTATTTAAAAAATTAAATTTATTTTAGCTAAAATTGATCATTCTTATTTCTTATGGATGAAACTATTTTGACTTAACTTTTGGGCAAAGGTATTCTTATGTATTTTGATAAGCTTGCATAAATTAATAAAAATTAAAATCAGTAAAGTAGGTAGAAATAAATTTTCAAGTTGGGCTTCTGAAGACCTGAGCATTGAAAATTTTATATAATTCTGCTCATTATAGAGTGGGTTCTAATAAAAGCATTAGTTATGTAAATACTTGGTCATAGATACAACCAAAAAGTCCTTAAAACTATGCTTTGGCTGTTAGGTGGTTGTGCACAATAGAATTCCAACTTAATGTTCTAGTAAGTCTTGATTCATAATAAAATGAATGTAATCTCTCTAAAATTACACTCTTTAAAGTTGTGTACAAACCTTAGGAAGGAAGATGCAGTCACAGAATTAACTTCCTCCAGTTTCTGATATTGAAATCAATGTATTTCATTTGATGGTGGTTAATGCTTAAGCATACTTATTGTGGTGTCATTTATATTTTTCAGATTCAGTTTCCAACTTTTCTCAATTCCATGGCTGTGAAATCATTTCCTATATACTGTTTAACTTGTCAGTGAATGAATAAAATAGATAGAAAATGAGTTATTTTCCTACTTGGTTAAATTAAAGTAAATATTTAAGACATGGTGCTTTGTCATTCTCCATTTTGTGTACTGCTGAAAGCACGCTTAAATATTCTAACAAATTGGGATGCTTGCACTGAGTCATCCTTACCCTTTAGCTTTGTTACAGAAAGAACGAGCTAGTAGTATGTTAAAAATAGGAATAAAATTCTAAATGTTTTTTCATAATGATAAAAAGGCCTGCCATTTGAAGATTCTGCTGTGTGACTTAAGATTATTGGTAAGCTTTGAATTTGATGATTTAAGGGATATTAGTAGAAATATACTCGTTTTCTACATTGCCAAAGATTAGCATTCTTTACAAGCCTGTTTTACGAACCTTTCTTCAGGCTTACAGATAACATTCTTATTTCTAAAACTTATTGAATTATCCATTTAAACCTTTTTATGCCTCCCCTCCCCCTATTTTAAAATAATGACTGATCGGAATACATCTCCATCTGTTTTGTTAAGGTATACTTAGTGGAACACCAAACAGGTCTTTTCCTGCCTGTTTTGCAGTTACATTATGTGAGAGCATGGGACTTTAAAAACAATTTGCAGTTTTCTGAAATGACATCATTCCCCTTACTATCTGGAAGGACAGTGTCCATCCTACATCCTGCCTCCTTTCACCACTTTAGTTAGTTAAAGGGCTAACTTTTCAACTTTCAGTCCTAATTGGAGAGATTTTTACCATTCTAGTCATTTGAGATTTACTTGAGACATAAAAGCCACAGGTACTTTTTGTTGTATTTTTATCATTCTTTCTTCCTTGTTTTTGGAAAATATAACTAGGTCTTTGTTTGTCTTTTTAATCTACTAGTAGCAATTAGTAAATTTTCCTTGTATATTCTGAGCAAAGGAGCTCATACAAAGGCAGAAGATTAAAATGGCCTTTGGTAGTTTTGCTTTCTATGAATATGTACACACATATAGGAATTTTTGAGTCTTTTATATAGGTATTTAGGTATTTAAGAATGGCCACTGTTACTTAGTAGCAAGAAATACTTAAAAAGTAAAGTTAGGCAAGGTTTTTTTGAGGAGTTAGTAAAGGTTTTTCTCTTTCAGTTTTAACTTGTTTGGGCGGAGGATTCCGCTCTTTCTCCATCAGTTTCACAGCCCTGGAATTGTAGAAAAGCTTTGGTTTCAAGACCATTTGATACTCCTTTCTGTCAGGGTGAGTTCTAAATTAATTTCACAATGCAAACTGAATCTATTAAACAACCGGACAAAAACTTATTCTCCTTGTAACAAAATTTTCCATTGAAGTGCAACAAAATAAGATGTACTCAAATCACAATTGAAGTCCTTGACAGATTTTTTTTAAAAAAAGCTTTCACTATTTTCTTTTAAAAAAAAAAAAGCTTTTGCTGTTTTCTTAAGAAATCTTCAAAGGTATCTTCTTATTAAGCTTTAATATTTATTTTGGAAACCTAAAGGTTTTTGTCTCATTTCCTAGAAAATATTAGATCCAATTCTTTACTCCACCACCTGTTTTTTAATATAGTATTAAGATTAATTTTGATGTTCTATTAGACTAAGCAGATAGAAAATAAAACATTTAGTAAAACTTTCCATAATTTACTCCTGTCTATCATACCAGAGGATAAATGATAATCTAATTACTCATAGAAATCTGAATTTAACAATCATGGTTACTCAATACTAATATTAGCATAAAATTACTATATTTGTGGTATTCTAATAATTGTATATCATTTAATTTGTCATTAACCTTTTGTTTTAGCAAGGTACTAAGTTAGCCTTTTATAGCTCTTAGCTTATAGTAAACATTTTAACTTTTTTGTGTATTTCTCAATAATTGCCTTAGATGTAATGTTGGATTTTCTATTGTAATTGAGGATATAGTGCATGAAATCATTAAATATTCACATTCAAAACTAAAACAATCTATACTAATATTGTTTATATGTATACTGATTGAGCTGTTGGGTGAATATTTAATGAAACAAAGTAAATCAAATGAGTTGGGAATTTGCTTAACAGAATTTTTATGACTGCATTATTATAGCATGTTGGCATGCCATATAAGGATATACAATTATTTCTTCATTGGCCTTTAAGATTTTGTCCTCTGATTGTGGTCTCCTACCAAATCTGCTTGTTTCCTTACCTTTTAGAAGACAATTAATAATTCTTGTCCACTTTACACAAATACATAATCAAATGAAATGTTTCTGTCACAGATCTCTGCTTGCTATATAGGAATGAGAAACTAATAACACAAAGTTTTGTTTTGTTTATATATTATCTAATCACTGAATCTCATTTGGAGATTTTTAAGCATAAGCCTTTAAAGAAAAAAAGTATGTTCCTATTTCTATGAAGCATTGGCATTTTTTAAAAAAAAGAACCTTAGTGAAAATTTTGGGAAAGTCTTTGGAAATAGGAATTAAAATCTAAAAATGACTATTATGTTGGATAAGACTTATTAATGTCTACCTCATTAAGCAAATCATTTAATTCTTTTCATATACATTTACTACCATAATGCCTTGATTTAGACAACCTGTGAATAAAGATGAACAGTTTTACATGAATTTTAATTTCTTGTATCTTTTTAAGTAAATTCATGATTACCAATATTGATTATCAGAAATTAGACAGTTGACAGTGAGGATCGCACCTTATGCATCTGACCAAAACGTCAAAGCAGTTATGTGGATTTGTCAGAAATGACATCATTTTAATTATAGTTTTCATTGTGTATTATATTTACAACTGTGTTGTGACTACTTTAAAGCCTGTTTTATACTAAAATCCTTGCTTTGGGATATTTTATCTTGAGCTATTATCAAAAATTTGAAGTAATTTCCACTGTATTTGTGGACTCATCCCACTTTTGTTTCATGTTCAAGTCAATTTTAGTTGCTTTACACTACTTCATTGCTACTGATGTCTTTGCCTATTTTGGATTAGCAGATTTTACACTGGAATTGAATTAAAAAGCAAACATCTGTATATATTTATAACTGAAAATGCAAGTTGTCCTTTGCATTTCATAAACACTTTCCTACTTACAAAATAGAACTGGATCATATTTGTTTAAAAGAAACATTATTACCAATTAATTTGTTTAGTAGATAGAAATAAAAGCATGTATCTGACTTCCCAAACATTGCTGCATTGCTGTAGGTACATTAATGCTTTATTTCTGCAGGCACCCATGTTCCTTTGAATATAAAACAACTTGTGAATCTATTAATTGCCATGTATCTTGACTTCTTATTTTTAACAAGCCCTTCATTTGAAATAGAAAATGATTGGTTTTTAAGGGTTTTCCCTAACATAAGATTTTGATTTTGATGAGCTATTTTTATTGATATAAGTATTTTTCTATCTTTAGTAATTATTTAATTTGAAATTAATATTGATTACACATAAAAGCAAGTAATTTTTATTTTTAAAATTGCTTTTAAAAAATTTAGCTTACTGTATCTTCTAGATAAACCTAACTTTACTCAAATAAATAAATTTATTTCAAATATTTAGGTGTCAGACAAAGAGAAAATTGACCAACTTCAAGAAGAACTTCTACATACTCAGGTAATTCTGGGGAACTTAAGAAAAAGGAAAAAAAGATGACTTCTTTCTTATATTCTAATGTAAGCTTGGTGATTTTTTTTTCAACAAAGCAAAATTTGGAATGCCTTAATGATAGAAACATCAATAAGTACAAAAAAATTTAGAAGCTAATTGGAAAAAAAAAGGAATAAAAGGGAACTTGGAGAATAGGGGGTTAACTCACTTGCATGTAAAACCTATTTTTAAGTGAATTTTGTATTTGTAAGTTTAAAAGCAAAGCTATGAGAAAAAAACTGAGGAAAATGGTTTGTCTTATATATGTACACCTCTACCTGCATTTTTACATTGATAGGCTAAATAACTCGTAACAGTTAAAGAAATTTCAGGTGAGTTATAATTAGCCCTCAGGAATTGTTCCCTTTGCATCTTTAAGTCCAAAAACAATGAGGTAATAACTTTTCTAAAGGTATTTCTGGTACTACTTTGAAAAGCTGTTGTCTTACAGTTGATTCTAAAATTGGCATTTTTTTAATATAAGAGTTTATTTTTACATCATTTTGTGCATTTTTTCATCTCAGTTGTAATCCCCGTGGGCTTCCCATCAACAAATCACCCATGTGCCATCACCATAGTTCAGTGCATTTCCTTCCCCCCACTGTTTTTGATCCCACTCCCCACTTCACCCCCATAAAATGCCTGTGGTATATAGCTGTTCATTATTATTATTATTATTTTCTCGCCTGGTCCGTTAAACTCCTGCTATGAGTGAAACTATCCGGTATTTTTTCTTTTCTTTCTGGTTTATTTCACTAAGCATGATCTTTTCCAGCTCCATCCATGTTGCTGCAAAAAGCATGTGTTTATTTATTTATTTTTTGGCTGCTGAGTAATATTCCATTGTGTATATGTACTTCATCTTTCTAATCCAGTCATCTACTTTTGGGCATTCAGGCTGTTTCCATGTCTTTCCAAAATTGGCATATGTTAAGATCTGTTGTTCTGTCAGTTATGAAGGCTAACATCATAGTGCAGTATTGCCCTCTCACCCATTCTATCATTGGTTATTCTGGTACATACCAGTAAAAGTCAATCATTATGTTGTTTTAAATGAAAAAGATTTATTCTCTTGGGCCGCCCTTTTTAGGGAGGAAAGCAAAGAACAATCTAGATGAAATTAAACAACTAGTGTTTTTTGAGTCCTGAGTTTCCTTCATTGAGTCTCAGATTTTATGTCCAATAGATATTATGTCCAATAAAAACATAATGCAAACCATATATAATTTTAAATGTTCACATTCAAAGTAAAACAAGTGCATTTTAGTAATATATTCTGTTTAACCTAATAAAATTCCAAAAGTATTCCAATCTGTGGTTTACTGAGTCACATAAATCTAATCTGTACTTACATGTAAAAGAGTATCTTGATTCATACTAGCCACATTTAAGTATTCAATAGCTGAATGTGGCCAGTGGTTACTATATTAGACAGCAAAAATCTAATTTTTAGATACTGTGAGAATTGTGTTGTATAGGTTATTGTTACACACACAGGTGAACAAAAATTCTGTAAGAATATGTTTATCATAAAATCTAGTCTGTCATTTTACCCGTCTAATACAGTGTGGTTCAACTATATGTCTTCCTTTAATTTAGCTAAAGTTGGACACTTTGAGGAAAGGACCATGATTTCCTGTTATTAACTTTGTTCTTCGAAGATTGTAACGACCTAAAAAATTTCTAAGAAATACTTTCCGTTAAAGTCATGCTGTTACAATCTGGACATAAATATTCTGCTAATGATTGGAGTAATTCATAATAGTTTCCCAAATGTTAATATTTAAGGAAAACATACTAATGTAAAAAAAAAATAGGAAGTTAGAAAAGGACCACATTTATTGAGAGAAATGTGTGGGTCAGCCACCTAATTTGATAGAACAGCCTTTCTAAACTTAGATCTTCTTTGAATTTGCTTTTATATAAATGTCTGTCCACTGTCCTCAGAAACTTACCAAAACTTAGAATTCTGAGTTTGAGCCTCAACTCTGACCTTATTCAGAACTGTGTTTCTAGCTGGGCTGCCAGGTATTCCTACCCTCAGGTTTTTAATCTGTATAATCTTGTTTTTTTATAAAGGTGTATGGGAGTTAATGCAAATGAAACACTCCTAATGAGTCTGTCACATATACTCAAATATTGTTAATAGCTGTTAACACTTGCTATTACTTTAATTAAAACAAAATAATATGAGGAATAAGAGAATTGAGTTTTTGTCAAAATGTCCCTTCAAATGAAGACCAGTATAATGGGAAATATTGCTTTACAGTAAGAATTTGCTGTTTTAAACTCTTTAGTTTCTTTAATAATAATTTAATTTCTTGATTATAGGTAGCAGAGAATTCTCCAAATTAAATGCCATATTAAAATAGAAAACTAATGAATGCACTATATAACATAATATTCATGGTTAAGTTTATTTACTCCAAATTTTCAGACGCTTTTTAAATTACATAGTCCATTTTAAATAGGAAATAAAACTTAAGGATTTTTCAAGGTTTATATTTAGAACTAGTTACATTTATTAACTCTCCTTTTTCTAATATTGTTGTATTTTTTGCAGTTAAAGTACCAGAGAATCTTGGAACGGTTAGAAAAGGAGAACAAAGAATTAAGGAAAATAGTATTGCAGAAAGACGACAAAGGCATCCATCATAGAAAACTTAAGGTATTTCAACTTGATCTTAATTTGTTAATTCTCAAAACTTTTCCACTCACATTGTACATTCATCAACACCAGTTTTTTAGCGTCTGTCATTTTTTTCTCTCTAACTGGATAGTCTTAGAGGTAAGACTTAGATCTGTCACAAATAGTAAAATCCTAGCATTTGTTCCATGTTATGTCCATGCTTCTTTGTTGTTATGTTACTTTTATTGAGGCAACAATTGCTTGCAACCTTATGAATTTTTGAAAAAAATATGCTGGTATTGTTATCATCAATCATTGGTAAATATCATTGTCAATAAAAATAATTCACAAGTAAATTAAATCTTATTCCCCATTAGACCAAACTGTATATGATAAATTAAATTATATTCTTTTAACTTGCATTTCATATAAATGAACAAAATTTATGTGTTGCAAAACAGCAACATGATGACGCATGCATTCTGTAGCCAAGGTCCATGATACATATTTAGAGTTTAAATAACATTTGTTAGTAGTTCTGACTTTTCATGACTGTAAAACAAAGAAACAGCATAGCATTTTTTGCATGGCAAATGAGAAGTATGTCCAAGTGTTAATGTTTTGAGAGTTTACTTCAGAGAAAGTTTTTTTTTGTGTGTGTGTGTGTGTGTGTGTGTGAAATGAAATGGTAAGAAAATTTGAAGACCTTCTTTTTATTTTCAAGTGAATGGAAGGAATAGGAGTCACTTTTCCATCTAGTTATTTTTAGGTGTTAAAGAAACCATGGACCCTCAGTTTGTTCCTGTCTTTACATTAAAATTTATCTTTAATTTTTAAATGTTTGATGATAGCCTTTTTTCCAGGACCATTTATTTATTCATTCATAGCTAAATACATAATTGAAGCTTGTTGTTTCCCAGGCACCTTGTTCCTATCTTCGTTCTACAGAGAGAAATAATGTAAGATTCTCTGCTTCTAGTGATTTCACATATTACTCTTCCAGGTTGTCAAAGTGCACTTTATGATTCATAGTGATCTAACAAGCCTTTTGGTGACTGTTTTCCTGCACTTCGGTTTTTCTCATACATCCAGATTTGGTAAAGGGTGACAAGAAATGTCCCTGCCATTTGGTTACCTGATTTCTTATTTGGCCTTTTGGTGTTAATGATCTCCCTTTGCTGGATATTTAATATTACTTCTTCAATATTAAATATTTCTCTCTTACCACTTAATTAGGTTAGAAAATCCTTACTGTACTTTAGTAAATCACTATAGCTCAAAGTTAATTGAGAACAAATGGGATTTTATTCTGTTTAATATTTACTATGAATATTTACGTATATGAAGAAATACAGTGATTATGAAAAAATATGTTTAGCTTACCAGCTTTTTCTTTCCTTGACATGTTTGTGGTATTACTGCTTAATGTTTTTACTGTTTGTGCTGTTATTTTTGTTATAGAAATCTCTGATTGACATGTATTCTGAAGTTCTGGATGTTCTGTCAGATTATGATGCCAGTTATAATACACAAGATCACCTGCCAAGAGTAAGTGAAAAACTGATAAGCAGTAATCTTGCCAAATAGAAAAAAAAGACGTATATTATGTAACATGTGGGATACTATTTAAGAGCACAAGATGACCTGTTAAGTGTTGAATATCGTTTGACTATTTTGGCCATTAATTTACTTATATTTATGTGTAAGAAAGGAAGGCTATCAACTTGGCATTGATTCCAAAATATCTGAAATATTAAATTAGATGCATCATGAGTGAAAGTTAACCTTAGAGAATTGAAAATGTCTTTGTAAGGAGTAAATTAACTATGGAGGGCCCTCCCTGATGGCACAGTGGGTTAAAGCACCATACTAAGAAGCTAAAAGCCACTTCTGTATGAGTTCGACTCCCACCTGCCCTGGAGGTGACCACATGGCATGGCAGACCTCTCCTGACCCGCCCACTGCTCCCCTCAGCAGTGTATTTCGTCAATCTGCCTGTTCGCTTCCCACTCTGTCTCTGATGAAGTCTCTTGCCGCCCCTGAGCCTCTAGACTGTACCCCAGTTCTGTATGCACAAATAAATAAATCTTTAAAAAAAATTAACTATGAAAAAGATTTATGGAACATTAATGATCTGGTCCATAATAGTGGTTTAATTTACACAGGTTTTAATAAAAAGTTGACTGTACGTAATGGATTTAAATAATGTTTTGCATTCTATATTTTCAGTACTCATACATGTATCAACCATCATTTTTTCATTGATATTTAAAAATAATTAACTAGATAGGGCCCTCCCTGGTGGCACAGTGGGTTAAAGCACTGCACTAAGAATTTTAAGGCAACTTCCCCATGAGTTCGATCCCCACCTGCCCGGGAGGAGATCCACATGGTGTGGCAGACCTCTCCTGACCCGCCCGCTGCTCCCCTCAGCAGTGTACTTCATCAGTCTGCCTGTTCTGCTCCCCACTCTGTCTCTGGTGAATTCTCTCACCCTCCGCATCTCTGGCCTGTACCCCATTCTGTATAAATAAATAAATCTTTTAAAAAAAAATTAACTAGATATTTTAAGAGACTAAAATATCTCAGCAATATTATAAATTATATAATTATACGTTGGTATTTAAATTGTGAATAAATGTTATTTACTTTGTGGTAAGGTTGTTGTGGTTGGAGATCAGAGTGCTGGAAAAACTAGCGTGTTGGAAATGATTGCTCAGGCACGAATATTCCCTCGGGGATCTGGGGAGATGATGACTCGTTCTCCAGTTAAGGTAAGAAAATAGGCCATCTGGAAACTGTCTACTTCAATGAAATATACTTGTTGTGTTGAAGTAAAGAATTTTAACTGAAGAAAGAATTGATGTATAGCATTTGGATTTGTTTCTAGTGTAGAAATCAGTAGGAGGCACAGACTAGACCAGTGTAGCAGGAGGTGAGTGAGTAAGGTGGAAGTGGGTGTCAAGAGGAGACATCTTGAAGCTGGAGGTCGTGCTAGACTAAGCCATTATTAGTCCTTTGGGATTTATTCTGATTAAGAAAGTGAGAGGCTGAGTAAGAGAATGAGAAAATTTTAAGTGGAATCAATAAATACAGAAATGAAAAGAGTAGAGAAATGGAACAGTAACATTACATGTTTGGTCAAAGGAATGTTTTAAAGATAGACTGATTGTAACAATCATTGGAGGGGAAAAATGATGATGCAAGAGAGAGAGAGCAGTTGCAAGGGTACAATTGTTGAGGTGAAAGAGGCCGGGAGTCAGCTTTCTGTTGTCCATGTTTGCTTCGGACAGGCCACCTATGGTCACAGGTGCAAAGTGTGTGACTGCCAAGTCTTCTACTCTGCAAACATATATTAAATGCTTCCTACCTGTCTGCACTGCTTTGGCAGAATGTTGGTAAACAAAAGAGATCTTGCCAGAATGGAGGATTCATTCTAGTAAAGATAGGCAATACATAGTAAGCAGAATAAATTATAAATCATACAGTATTTGTCTTAAGTGTTATGCAAAAAAGAAAAAGTGGAACCAGACAAGGGAGATGGGTTAATAGTCTTATGTTGAGAAGGTGACATTTGAACCACAACTTGCAAAAATTGAGGGGAGTTGTGTGGGTAGTGCAAGTGTGTTCCATGCAGAGGAAATTAGTGCAGATCCCATTGTTTCCTGAACATGATAGCAACCTCAACCACCTCAGGGGCAGGCAAGTAGCTCCTTAGAGCATTGTAAGTTATTTTGTAGACTTCAGTTTTTATTTTGAATAAAATGGACAGTCATTATAGCAATATGTGCAGAGTGTCAGCATTTAAAAGGCTAAATGACCACTGTAATGAAGATAAATATAGACAAGATGGGTAGAACCAGCTAACAGGAGAGGCTATTGGAAGAGCCAAATGATACTTAGACCAGTGAGGTAGCTGTGAAGATTATAAGAAATGGTTGTATCATACAAAATTTACTGACAGATTTGACATGTAGAAAGAAAAGAAAGACCTTGTCAGTATGACTGAGGTTTGTGGATTGAGCGTATTAAAGCTGTATTAATAGTTTGCACAGGGAAGTCTGGATTAAAGTGGTCTGGAGATGAACATCAAGAGTTTTGGTCTTGCTGAATGAAGGGTGTTTATAAATAATCATTGTAAATAGCTGTAAGAATCTCCCTCCAGAACCCACTGGGCTTTTGAACTCATTCCAAGCTGCCATAGTGGCTCTGGATTTTGTTTATTGCCTTACCTGATTAGCTAATCTAAGTAAATGGAATTATTTTTATAGTGAAATCCAATAATTATAAAGAAGCTATAATCACAGAATAAGAAGTTTCAAAATTCTCATAAAACTACTTTATTATATATGAGTTGTTTGAAAATGTATGGGTCACAGTCATTCCTGACACAAAGGCTGCCTTAGCTCTCTCAGCTTCAGTAGTCTCTCTGTAATAGCCTACGTTTTGCTGCCATGTCCTGTTACATATCTGCGTATAGTTCTCTCAGGATATTGTAAGATATGAAACTGGGACAGTTAATTATTTATTTCCCTACTATTCATAAGTAGCTCTCAATAAATAGATGTTCAACAAGTGAATTGCCCTTTACCTGTGGATTTACCTTTGAAGTTAAATTAAATGCAAGGGTTTTCTAAGTTTTTCACTGATGGTTTTGTGCTCAGTACTTTATATGACATTGTCTGGGAAATGAGAAGAAACAGTTAAGACTATGAAAGCTATAAAGTACCCAGCTATCCTGTTGAGAAATCATAGCTCTAAGAGACATTTGTGAAATCTGTAGTCTCCGCTGTACCACAGTGGCATCCCTGCAGATGTTCCTGATGTGCAGGCAAAGAGATGCCTGGATTTGTGCAATACTGTGAGCCTGTCTAGACTCTGGGAACTAATATTGAATTATACATGTGTCACTGTGTCTGAACTTTCAGGTAACTCTGAGTGAGGGGCCTCATCACGTCGCCTTATTTAAAGATAGTTCTCGAGAGTTTGATCTTACCAAAGACGAAGATGTAAGTAGAAATCATATGAGCTTCATGTGTACAAACTTTATAACCCATGTAAGCTTTTCATTTAATATATTTGCTAACTGCAGATTGTTAGGGGATTTTGTTGTTTTCCATTTACAGCTTGCAGCATTAAGACATGAAATAGAACTCCGAATGAGGAAAAATGTGAAAGAAGGCTGTACTGTAAGCCCTGAGGTAAGCCTTGCTATTCATTTCTTTTTTTTTTTTTTTTTTTTTAAGGATTTATTTATTTGTGCATACAGAACTGGGGTGCAGGCAAGAGGCTCAGGGGCGGTGAGAGGCTTCACCAGAGACAGAGAGAGGAACAGAACAGGCAGATTGACGAAGTACACTGCTGAGGGGAGCAGCGGGTGGGTCAGGAGAGGTCTGCCACGCATGTGGTCACCTCCGGGGCAGGCGGGAATCGAACTCATGCGGAAGCGGCTTTAGATCCTCAGTGCTGTGCTTTAACCTGCTGCGCCACCAGGGAGGGCCAGCCTTGCTATTCATTTCAATAGTGTTTTATGAAAATCCATTGTTCATGATTTGAAATATATCATGATACTGACATCAATATTAAGATTCTAGATGTTCCAAGATACATCATTTTTTTTTTAATGTTCCAAATATATCATTCTGTGGATAATTTTCTACAGTAATTACATTTAGGATCAGAAAAACAGTAACTTTTCTCTGAGCTCATATCTGAGTGGATGAATCATAGAATTTTCAGACCATGTATTACTAGAAGATTCCTAACAAATTGCTCCAAAAATTTTTTGTTTCTGTTTTGTTGTTTTTGAGTAGACTATATCATTAAATGTAAAAGGCCCTGGACTGCAGAGGATGGTACTCGTTGACTTACCAGGTGTGATTAATGTAAGTGTATGGACAGAACATGTATTTGATCTTATTCTTACTCTGGAAAACATTTATAATGACTTAATTTTTTTTTTTTATTCAAGACTGTGACATCTGGCATGGCTCCTGACACAAAAGAAACTATTTTCAGTATCAGCAAAGCTTACATGCAGAATCCAAATGCCATCATACTGTGTATTCAAGGTAAATCTTTTCAAAAGATTTGAATTATGCTGTTGAATCAGTGTAAAAACTTCTCTAGCCTTGCTTTAAATATGCATAGCATATAAACATACAAGATGAGTATGTCTTGCCCTCTTAGTTGTTCTTTCATTTTATTAGTAAGTAGAATTGAAATTGGGAATTCTGTAGTAAATTTCACTGCAGGCATCTTAGAAATATATTAAGAAAAATTTTCTTACCATAGTGAGGCATCAGGGCATGTGGAAAGTTTCAAATCCACTTTTCAATTATTACAGTGTCACTTTTTCACTTTTTCCCAGATGGATCTGTGGATGCTGAACGCAGTATTGTCACTGACTTGGTCAGTCAAATGGATCCTCATGGAAGAAGGACCATCTTTGTTTTGACCAAAGTAGACCTCGCAGAGAAAAACGTGGCTAGTCCAAGCAGGGTGAGGGCAAGTTCATTGAAGTTTCAAAAAAATTCCTCACGGAATTATTTTAATAATTTAACTTTCCAGTGAGTAATATGAAGATTTTTCTTCATTCTCATTTAAAACAAAGGATTCGAAAGTGTAAGCGATAATAAATTAAGTGACATTTTGAGGTTGTAAGTAAATGATTGGTTGCCTGCTTCAGAAATATTCAGGTTGGCTATACTGTTTACTATTAATTTAAATAATTCTTAATGCCTATACATACTTATTAAGCTCATTTATGTTTGTTTCTTTGATTTTACTTTCAGTTGATGTTCATAAATTAGAGTAAAAATTAATGACAGTATAGCGTCCCTTTGAAACTTACTTATTTTTTCCTCACCCCTCTCTCCCATAAGTACTACCTTTACTAATTCATCACAAACTATGTAACATAGCTGGTTTTTAATCATGGAGAAAGCACTGTATTGGATGGCAGGCCTCCACAGTCTTATCCATACTTCTCCACTAATTCACTGTGTCCTTGTGCAGATCCAGTCAATGCACAGTCCAACCCATTTCAGTAGCTCTCTAGGGGTCATTTCCATTTCTGAAATGCTGTGAATTCTATACATGATATTTAGTGTCCTTCTCAAAAACAGGAAAGAGTTTTCTTTCAAGGTACCATTGCATGTAAATGCTATTAGATCAAGCCTTAAGGCATGCTATTTATGTAATTATAAAAGCATAAAGTTGTATTTAAGAGAACAAAACCTGTCATCAAATTGCTTGCTTTCAAATCCTGACTCTGTCTGCCACTGGCCAATTATGTAATCTTAAGCAAGTTATTTACCTTTCCAGTGCTTTTGACTTCCAGGTGTGTTGACAATAAAACTCTTAATGATACTATCTCATAGATTGTTAAGGTTTAGTGAGTACAATCTTGTAAAGTGGTTGAATAGTACTTGGCTCAAGTATTCTGTACGTTATGGTTATCTTCTGAAATCTCTGTGACTATTCCATGTGGAGCAACTTCATTCTGTAAGCACCTGTTCCTGTACTACTTCTTTAGGGTTTCTCTCCTTCCTCCCCCATATTTACTGTATCACAGACAGAGACCATCTGTGTCAGGAATTTCCAAAATAGACCACCCCTGTGTTCCATAACTCTAAAAGAATTCACCAGGACTCAACGCAAAATCCTACTTACCCCTAAGATTTAATACAATGATAGAGTACAAATAAAAATCACAAAGGAAAAGTTTCAGGAGCTGAAGTGTGGTAGAAACCAGGCCACAGTGTCCCAGGTCATCTCTCAATATAGTTACACAGGACTTGTAACCTCTCCAGCAACATGTTATTCATAAGACATGTAGCACCTAAAGATTTTATTGGAGACTGGTTATATAGGTACCTCAACTATCAAAATTCCAGATGCCGAAAGGAAAGCAGATGTTCAGCCTGTACTGCATTGCAATGTTTTGTGACTATATCTCCCTTAATTCCTTTCATTTTTTTCCTTTCTTTTCTAGATAATGAGTTTGTATTACTTTTGAAATGTAGTTAAGGCTTATTATAGTGCTTTTGTATACCAAAGATTGAGTATTTGGGTGAGGGTATAACATACAGTATTAATCTGAATAGAGTTCTTATGTTGTATATGTTTGATAGATCTCTATATAAATGTGTGTGTGCGTGTGTGTGTTGTTTTGTTTTTCTTTTTTTTTTTTCCTTTCTGGGCAGAATCTGTAGTTTTTATTATGTTTAGAAAGGGATTTTTTACTTTAATATAGGTGATCCAAATATTAGAGAGAGAAGTAAACAATTGACCTGGGGAGAATTTAGGTTCAGTTGACCCTTGAACAACAGGGTGGTTAGGGACACCGATTCCCTGCCCACCCCAGTCCACATACCATACCGAAATCAGGATGTTCAAGTCCCTCATGATTGTCTTTCCACATCTGCAGGTTCCACATCTGTGTATTTGACAAATTGATGTGCATTATTGATTGAGTCTGTAAATCCAGACCATAGGTAGGAAACAAGATCCATGTTGACGCATTCCCATGCAGTTCAAACCTGTGTTGTTGGGTGGCCAATTGAATCTAAAGAAAAATATGGAGAAATGACAATAATAATTCCCATTGAGTGTCTATTTGTCAAGCACCACATCATCTTATTATCAGACAACTATTTAGTTTTTAATTAGGTGCTTTCTTAAGGCCACATAACTAATAAATGGCAGAGTAGACATTCAGACTAAAGCCTGACTCCAAAGCCCTGTATATCATTACAAGTATTCATCTTAGTACACCTGTTTTAATAGAACATTATTCAGTATAGTAAATGAAATGTATTTTTTCTCAAATAGCAATTGAACATTTAATGTTTTGTACAGATTAATGTAGTTAACTAAGCAGATACCTATGTATCACTAAATTGTTTTCTATATTTATGCTTTTTAAAATTATGTAAACCTGTGTCTTACATTTTTTCCTACTTTTTAAAATATAGATTCAGCAGATAATTGAAGGAAAGCTCTTCCCAATGAAAGCTCTAGGTTATTTTGCTGTTGTAACAGGAAAAGGTATGCAAAGATGTATCATTATAAATTACTTTTAGTATTTGTGTGATCAAATAATGAAGATGAAAACTTAGCCATCATCTTTTCCTAGGAAACAGCTCTGAAAGCATTGAAGCCATAAGAGAGTATGAAGAAGAATTTTTTCAGAACTCAAAACTACTGAAGTAGGTGTATTGTTTAAATATTAAAAGATTTTACTTATGGTTAAAGAGTAGCTTAACTCCAGCTGGTTTCATTTACAATTTGTTTTGTAGCTTTTAGATTAACAGTAAATGTCCAGAACTTTTCCCAAATAGTGATCTATGTCTAATACATAGACAGAATTGGGAGCACTTAGGACAGTATATGCTGGCATAAGCTGCCCCTTGGGATGTGAGTACTGAGAGGTAACACAGATACCTCTTAAGTAGTTTTATTACTAAAGTGACTTTTAAAACTTAGTATTTAAAATTTTAAATAGATGCACACTTTTCTCTTACAAGTTGAAATAGGGGTAGGGATCAAAGTAAACAGATATTCACAGAAATTAACAAAAAATAAGGTATTGACAGAAAAGCAAAAGAGCAACTGAATTATATAAACACTTTGTATGTAGAGAGTTTCCTGAAATACAAAAATATGTTTACCTTACTAAATATAGTATGTCAAGGTACTGCTTACAATTTTGAGTATTGCCTGTTGGGAGGGGAGGGAGCTAGGAAACGTGTACAACTGTGCTGCCTAGGATTGTACTCAGTAGCTTTATATAGTTAAATTAGTTAACATTAAGTAAAATTAAAAGTTCATCTCCCTAGTCACACTAGCTACATACTTCAAGGACTCAAAACCTCATGTGACTGTAGTTACCATAATGGATAACCCAAACGCTTATGTTTTCATCATCACATAGTTTTACTGAACAGTGCTGTCAGAAAATGTGTGACTGTTCTCATCAAAACAAGCATATTCTCACACTAGTGCTAGTGTTATTGGCCTTTTTGTCATTTTAATTTAGTTTAATTTACTCTTGTTTTTTTTTTTATAGAACAAGCATGCTGAAAGCACACCAAGTGACTACAAGAAATTTAAGCCTTGCTGTGTCAGATTGCTTCTGGAAAATGGTACGAGAGTCAGTTGAACAACAGGCTGATAGTTTCAAAGGTAAATTTTAAACTAAGCAGCAAATTTAAACATTTCATTACTGAACAATCTTTGGCATCCATGAAATTCTTACTCCTTTTCTCTAACAGTTCATTTTTCATTCACTTACTCTGGGTTTGTGGAAAATAGAAAAAATACAAATTTTTGGTTGTTGTACAAAAAAATAGTACTTTCCTTTCTCAGGAAATACCACTTGCTGCTCTTTGCTAAATTTGAACAGATAGAAAGTTTGCAGTAATATTTGGAGAAAAGAACTTGATAAACTATAGAGGTCTCACATTCCCTCCTCTTTAGGGGCGGGGAGAAATGGTGTTGGGAAGCAAAGCCCTGTGTTTTGGCTACATTGTACTCTTTTCTGAACCCCACTTTCCTGCTCCATGACTTTGTTTTCAGTTTTCTTTGATGAAAATATAACCCCCTTCCCTTTTCCTATTTGGAAATCCTACCTGTTAATCCCATTTAGTCCCTCAGCAGTCTTGTAAGTATTATTATTGTTGCTGTTGTTATTATCCTCATTTTATAAGGAAACTGAGGCAGAGGAACTTACCCAAATCAATAGACTACAGATTGGTGGTACTACCCCCAAGATCTATGCTCTTAGTAGCTGGACCAAACTGGATCAGCTGTGCATTTTGTGGGTTAAAAAAAAATGGAGAAACTAGAATCAGGTAGTTTAGAAAGTTAATGCAATAATGAAATTCAGAGATATTGAAAGCCCATAATAATCAGAAGCCATAAGTAAACTATACAATTTAGTTAATACAGAAGATATATGATAAATCCTCTAACCCCGACTTCTGGAAAGAATGAGAATAAAATATTTTTCCTTCTTCCATAGCAACACGTTTTAACCTTGAAACTGAATGGAAAAATAATTATCCTCGCCTGCGAGAACTTGACCGGGTAATATTTATAACTTCAGTGCTTTGTCTATGTCTGATTTATTGATAATATTGTGGTCTAAAGAAGTATATGTTGATGAGAGAAATTTGAATGACTAAGGTAGACATTTTATAAGTTTCTTTGTTTTTATGTGGATATTCGCATGCCTCAAAGACTAAAAGAAGTATTATTTGCTGTTCATGCATGCTTCAAAGTTAGGCTCAACCTTCTTACCATAATAAGAAGTCTTCCTTATAATTATCTCTGAAAATTATGCCAGGGCAAATTGATTATCGAATGAAAATCTTACTTATTTTTATCTATATTGCCTAGAATGAACTATTTGAAAAAGCTAAAAATGAAATCCTTGATGAAGTTATCAGTCTGAGCCAGGTTACACCAAAGCATTGGTGAGTATTTGACCTTCACTCAGTAACTTGACTCTGTGAATTATAAAATAATAAAATATGGATCAATAAACAATGACTTATTGTGACCTGGGTTCATTCTCCAAAACCAGTATGTCCCTGTTAATCACTGTTTTTTAGCCAATCATGTATTTAATTATGTTTTTATCAAGTATCTTATAGAAGAGACACTCTTGAAAATAACTTTCTCCATGCTTTTTTTCAACTCTTGTTTGTCTTTTGCATTTCTTTACCTTATTCATAACAAATGCATAATTTTGGTTTCTATAAAATCATTCAGACAAGTTTTATCAAATCTTATTTAGATAAATATTAGTCTGTCAGAGCAGTTGTTGGTGTTGCATTAATCACAGAGATCAAAATTACAGAAAAGAATGGTTTGTAAAGGAAGACATTCTCATTTCTCAGCAAGAACAATTGTTACTTCTTATACCGTGTACCAGGAATATTGTGTACAAGTCCATTTCAAATAGAAACCTATTTTGAGATTTCTTGTTAGTAAGTAAATGCATCCTTTAAAAAAATACTCATGCAAGTCTCATTAAAGGCAAATTATCTAACTTTTTAATGTAATTTTTGACATAGCCGTGTTGCAATGGGACACTGTAACCAAAATAGGCTCTTTGTACCGCAGGTTATATGTTAATGACTTTGAAATGTTAATTTTAATTAACAAATTTCATGTGCTCAGTTTATCTTTGTAATAAGGTCTGTTTACTCTTTGAGGATGATCAGTATTGAACCCAGATGATAGTGTCCAGTCCTAAAGTGTGACTGGCAGTATCACTAGCTTCTCGATGCCCTTTCTTTCTCAATAACAAACCCTTTTCTCTCTTCAGGTAGTCAAAATTTGTCTATTTTTACTCTCCTTTCCTTATCCGCAAAAGACTATTGGTCTTGTCTATGCTTACTAATTAATTAATCAGGTATATCACACAACTTATCTTTGTTATTTGTATTGTAGTCTATGGCTTTCTGTAAGCCAGTTAGCTCTTGAAGCTGCAAGGGATGGATATGTGTATGTACGTGAAATATATACATACATGTGCAGAATGATTATACAGCTACATACTATGCTAGCTTATATGTAATGTACTTAAAAAGTGACTGTAAATTTAATTAGTGATTTTTATGTGAGAAAAATATGGTACCTCTTTATTTCTGAAATGAAATGGAATAGGTAGTTTTGTTTGTCCAGAGCAAGTGTGAAATAAAAATATATCTACACTAACGCAAGCCTTGAAGTTAATTAAATCTAATTTATCTAACAGAGATTACTGAAGGGATTTTTGAAGGGACAAGAAATCTGTATTGTCAGACTGAAAAGGCAAGGGAGTGAAGTCTTGGTTTCGATACCAAGATGAAAGGATCGGTAGGCTCAGCGCAGTTAGAGGATGGAAGGTCAGGCCAAGTTTCTAACAAGTAGGAACTTTATTGTGCTCCTGGGTGAGGTTCGCAGACCCCAAAGACAGGGTAGAGGTCAGTGAATCATGCCTGCTGGGGAATACGGGTAAGTTTTTATAGGGTAGGGAAACTGCTTTGCTTTCTTTTTTCCAAGGCAGTTAATAATCTCAATGCTTAATCTGTATGCCAGCCGTGCAGAGTTGATTTCCAGAATACTGGCAGTTCCCAGTATTTAGGAGGCTCAAGGTTAGGAGACTTCAGACATTTAGACAGTAACAACCCTAGATTCGGGGTTCCTACCCTCAGCCTTGCCCAGGCTGCTGGACTTTATAGCTACTGATTATTAGGTATTATGAAAACATATATTGAATCCACAATGTGTTACCACTTAAACTGAAGTTTTAAACTTAAAATGACTAAACTTTAAATGACTCTCCATGTGCCGGCAAGATGCAGAGGACTGATCTAGAACTCTCGTACTAGCATTTTAGAAAACAGTTTGGTAGTAACTTAAGAAGCTAAATGTACACTGACTGCATGATCCAATCATTTCACTCCTATATATTTTCCTAGGGGAGCAAAAACATAAGTTCATATAAAGCTTGTACATGGTGCCCATGATTTTATTTATAATAGTCAACTACCAGAAACAACCCAAATGTCTAGCAGTAGAATGCTATTCAGCCAGTTTAAAAAAAAAAGTAAAATATTATATACACAATAGTATGGGTGAGTCTCAATTATTATGAATGAAAGAATCAGAACAAGAGTGTATGCTGAATAATCACATTTATATAAAATTATAGAAATATAATCTGTTGTAGTGATAGAAAACAGATTCAGTTGTTAGAATTCAGGGGACTGACGGATGTTTATTACTCCAGTGGGCAGAGATGCATAGGTGTGTGCATATATTCAAACTTTAAATATGTGCAGTTTATTACAAGTTAAGATTCTTCAATAAGACTGTTTAAAAACTTTTTTTTTTTTAATTTCAGGGAGGAAATACTTCAACAATCTTTGTGGGAAAGAGTATCAAGTCATGTGATTGAAAACATCTACCTTCCAGCTGCACAGACCATGAACTCAGGGACTTTTAATACTACAGTGGACATCAAGCTTAAACAATGGACTGATAAACAACTTCCTAATAAAGCAGTAGAGGTTAGGATATAATTTAATTAAATGGGTAAGAAGCATTATCTGAAAAGGAGTAGGAGCTGTGAATTTAAGGTTTTATTCCCATCACAGCACTGTCTTCCTTTTTAGTCCTTATACTGCATTTATTCTTTATTCTTGACCTTTATGTTGGGGCTAACCTTAATGCTACTACAGTTACTACTGTTATAAAATGTACTAATTGATACGTCAGTCTGAGAGCATTAGTCAACACCAGTCAACTTTGCTTGAATGTGAAATAATTTTAATTTATTTTGTAGATAGAGATTCCCTAAGGAAATGTCTAATGAATGAAATATTTCATTTATTGATTTTATGCAGGACTCAATTATACTTAAATAATCATTTCCTTATTGGTGCCTTGACAAAGGTTAGAATGTACCTGAAAGAATCCATTTCTGTTACTCTTGTGTCTTGACTCTGCCATTTAGTAACTGTGAGTTCTCTGGGCTAGATTTTAAACCTTTCTGTTTCCTCATCTGTAAGTTAAGGATGCTAGAGTTACCTGCCTTATGTATTGTTTTAAGGAGTAAATGAGTGAATGTATGTAAAATACATGACCAGCTGTATTTTAGTAGCTGCTCAGTAGCTGGCAACTGTTATGCTAATATTCGTCACCGATTTGATCTCCCCTGCTGTTTATCTGTGAATGCTTGGTCCAGCTGTGAGTCAGTATCCTCTATGCTCCTGAGGAGGTTGCTCACAAAATTATAATCAGTGTGAAAATTTATTGTTTTCCATACCTAACTTAGAAACTAGATGGCATCACTGTTTCAGAGCACTTCACCTCTTTCTTGTACTTTTCCAGTTCTGACTTCTTCACCTCCTTTCTCAGTTTCCTCAAGCTGCTTTTTCTAGGAACTGTAACAGTTTCTTTGCCGAAGCTGCATGTTGCCAACCCCAATCAGTTCTCAGTACATTAACCCAAAAGTAGATTCTACAACCATGTCACTAGCTCTCCTCACTACTGGGCCTTCACTTTTTCCAGGGCTCTTTCCATCATAGGATGTTTTCAAAACCCAATGTTGAAGCAGAAGTGGTCATAAGGGGGCAGTGACTCTCTCCTGCTGCTTTCAGCCTCAGGCCTAAGTGTGGTAGACCCTGAGGAAAGTCAGAAAACATCCAGTTAATGCTAGCTGGTATATTCTTGGATAGTTGTCTTTTCTTTACATTGTAATTTAAAATGAAAAAGGCTAAATAAAAAATCCATTAATCAAAAGTAGATTTAGTTCTTTTTTCTGTCACTACTTTTCCTTTCATTGTTCAAAAATAGAAGTTATTTCTAATAGAAGCTGTGTAATGTGCAGCTTGAAACTACTGATACATTTATTTTTATATTTGCTTAAAAACAAGATTTGAGGTAGTCTGAGTCATTCCAAAATTTTAAATGTATGATGGAATAGGAGGAACAAGCAAACTCAGTAGTTATATAAGATGAAATATATAGTAAACTGAGTCTGGTAATGAACTAAAGTGTTTTACCTAAAGAGGGCAGTGCCCAGATGGAATTATAGAATGTGGGTCCTGCATTGCTGGATACTTCAAAAGGACCTGGAAATGCAAAATTTTATATAAAGTCTCTCAAGTTTTAAATGTTGCTAACTAATTTTTTTAATTTTAAAATACTGTCTCGTAAAACCTTTCAAGAAGCCGATCTTTCTCACTGTTTAGTATCCATGTGAGAGCTCTAGAACAGAGTTTGTGTGCATTTACTGCCTTTTCTTTTCATAACTTCATGTAAATGTAGCTTCTGAGAATCTGGTATGTCAGTTTGGCTTGAATTCATGTATTATTTTTCATGTCACACAAAAAGTACGTAGAATAATTACATCTTTTTCTTTTAAATAATTCCAGGTTGCTTGGGAGACTCTACAAGAAGAATTTTCCCGCTTCATGACAGAACCAAAAGGGAAAGAGCATGATGACATATTTGATAAGCTTAAAGAGGCTGTTAAGGAAGAAAGTATTAAACGCCACAAATGGAATGATTTTGCAGAGGACAGCCTGGTATGTCATTTGCAACTTATGGTGTCAGCATCAGTTCTATATCATTTTTCAAACTGATTATCTTTTATAGGCAACTACTTTTATAAGATTATTTAAATCAGATTCTGAATTTTAAAAAATGAAGGGGAAAAAGTGGATTTATAACAGTCCTTTGACATTTCATTGTCCTCCTAGAATCATCCTTTGCTGTTTTGTCCTTAGCTATCTATATTTAGGGAAAAAAACAAACTTTTCAGTAAGCAGACTTCTATAAATGTGAACTAATTGTCATCTAATAACCATTGCATGCATCTAAATTAACAGATAGTTCCTTTTCATTTTACCCTTTGCTGTGGATTCAAGTCATAAAATGTTAGACTTCTACAACCATTACACTAACTATTCTATGTTGAATGAAGCCTTACTAAGTACCAGGAGCTCTGCTAAGTATTTTGTAAGCAATATTTTTAGTTAGTTATTATCCTGTTATTGTTATTGACAAACTCTGTTCTACTTCCAAGTTTGGCTCCTGACCTCCACTCTCTGATAAATAAATTGTTATGTAGAATATTCTCATCTCTATACTCAAACCTTACTAAGCACCTGTTCTGCATAGACAGTTATAAAATGTACTGTTGAACAAGATGAGCAATTTTCTGGGAAAATACATGTCTCACCACGGGCTGGATGTAATTATAATTTTGTTTTGAAGAAATGTTTGTACTCTCATTTGAAAAGCTTTTTCATCTTATTAAATTACTTAAAAACTGACTTTCTGAATGAATAGTGCCATTTTCATTCAAAATAGTAAAAATTGGAAACCAATTTTGTTACAACAAATAACATGTGTTTGTGATTGTTTAGCCCTTAAAATCTTTTCCCTGTTAGATATGTCATTGCTTTAACAGTAAAATGTAGGTTAAGATTTCTTTCTTCTCTCAAATGCTAGTAGGTCATAAGGCAAAAAGGAAAGGACGAGATGATTTGAATAATAACTCCTGAATACTAGGGTTCTTGCTGTTATAATTGTGATGTGCCCCTCTCTATCTTAGAAATGGTCATCTCATATAATTTGGGCTAGGAAATTGTTAAGTTTTTAGACAGGAAGCTAACAAGACAAATAGCAGAATTTCTTACATTTGGATGAAAGAACATACTTTTTAGTTTTAGATACATCTGATATTTTGGATATTTGTAAGCTATCAATTTGAATGAAATTAATAAAGAGATAAGAATAAATCAAATAGCTATTTCTCTTTCCTCTTATTTCAGAGGGTGATTCAACATAATGCTTTAGAAGACCGGTCCATATCTGATAAACAGCAGTGGGATGCAGCGATTTATTTTATGGAGGAGGCTCTTCAGGCTCGTCTCAAAGATAGTAAGAAAGAACTTGGGTTCTTAGGTTTTAAGTATTTCCCAAGGTAAAGGAATCATCTGACTTCAGTGGACTTTCATATAAATAAAATGAGCATTTCAAGATCTTGAGTCATTAATACAATAACTAAAATATTAAACATGTTAAATTGTCCACATATTTACATGTACTCATTCTAAAAAGCTATAATTAAGACTATTTAAATGTTTGCTGCTATACTTACAGAAACTTTGTAAGTAATTCATGTCTAGTCATGATTATATACATATATGTATATAATACATATATGTATATAATAATCATACTTTTTTTCTTTATTTCAACTTTATATTGATATAATACTTAGAAACAGTTAAGAAAATAAAACTATTATTATTTGGTGATAAAATTCTTGATAAAAATTTTTTTTTAATTTTTTAGCTGAAAATGCCATTGAAAACATGATAGGTCCAGATTGGAAAAAGAGGTGGTTATACTGGAAGAATCGGACCCAAGAACAGGTAAAAACAGGCTTTTCTCTGGTCCTTTGATACTCACTTTAATTCAGGCATTAAAATATAATCTTTGTATACTTCTTGACCAATCTTAAGTGTTTTATATTTTATGTCAGTATTCCTAAAAGAAAATGAATCGTTAGAATTAGCAGTAAGCTACAAGAGAAAGTTTTTTAAAAAATTTGTTAGCTGGCCCTCCCTGGTGGCACAGCGGGTTAAAGCACAGCACTGAGAGGCTAAAGCTACTTCAGTATGAGTTCGATTCCCCCCTGCCCCAGAGGTGACTACACAGCGTGGCAGACCTCTACTGACCTGCCCGCTGCTCTCCTAAACAGTGTGTTTCAGTGGATCTGCCTGTTCTGCTCCCCACTCTGTCTCTGGTGAAGCCTCTCGCCGCCCCTGAGCGTCTGGCCTGTACCCCAGTTCTGTATGAACAAATAAATACATCTAAAATAATAATAATAATAATAATTTGTTAGCTGTATTATAAAAAAAGGAAAAGCTAAAATATGATCCTTTTGTGATTATTTCAATTCCTATTTGAGGCAAAAATGAAGATTAAAGTTAGGAACAAGGATAAAAATAATACAGATTTCCAAATACGAGAATAAATTTAATTACAATAAAAGGTACAGTGGGCCCTCCCTGGTGGCGCAGCAGCGGGT